GTCCTCATAAGAGCAGCTCTCAGTTGAAAATTCTATTTCGCAGTGATTTCATCAGGAAGCACACCCATCTCTCATACCATTTGAAGCTCTTCAATCAAAGGTTGTAAGTCGACGTAAATTTTTCCCTTTGGGCAATGTGGACCTCATATGATCAACGTCAGAAATAAGAATGAGGCGGTCATGCACATATTGGGGGGGCAAATTGTATATGTAATGAATACCAACGAGCATAAAAATGAGGTTGCGGCGTGTTGTACGAGGTAAAGCCATCTTCACATAAGTCAAGTTAACTTTGTGTGTTTCAACTGCATATTCTAGATAAGTACAATCAAAATGTCTTCATCCCTCACCATGTGATGGATGACTCATCGAATTAGCAACAATAAGTCCAATATTGTGCCAAGTCAGGTTAGGAGTTATATGCATAAAAGCGAACAACCTCCAAAATTGGGGTATGTGCGAAAAATAAAAGAGGCGTGTATGAAATATTTTTCTGCTCTCCCTTTGTTTGAATTTATCGGCATCACAAAATCGATAAGTCATCTCGACTATGTTGGCCTTGTAATATATCATGCAGTCATTAACATAGCAATCAATCTTCTCATATTGTAACCCTAATTTTGAAACTAACTTTTTTGTTCTGTAAAGGTCATCTGACACTAAATTACCTGTAGGGCTCTTCTCTTTCAAGAATGTTGTTATTTGATTGAATGCATTCTAGGCATGTTCAAATTAGATTTGATTCTCAACATTTTCAGCACCACTGATAACTCTGTATGTGTAGTGCAACCATCACATAAATGTTATTGTGCAGTGTTTAATAAGTCATAGAACTATTAAGATACATGATTTTTTGTTTCACATTCGTGTGGAACACTCTCAACAAAATGAGTTCTGTGAGCATCATGAAGTATTTCTTTGTATGTGTCAAATCATATTCCTTTGTTGAAGAACCGTAATTTACGGCACCTCCTTGATCATAATGAACTTATGGTTCTTGTGCAACATGTGCAATCCAGTACCAATATTTTAATTTGAATCTCTTAGGTAAATATCCAACTTTACTTTTTCAGGTCACAAATATGTTTGATTTTTTGTGCTTCGCATAAGGACATTATAACTTACCCTTTGAAGGATAAATGGGTAGATGTGATGCCACATGCACGATTTCTCAATACCATTCAAGAACTCATCAGTGGGTCATTTTCATCCTAAGTATAATTTGTTATACATTCAAGCTCTCAAATTATGAATATTCATCTGAAGTGCATAAAATCAAAATTAGTAAATATTGATTAAAATTTGAAGTCGACATTACTTAGTCAAGCAGATCTCTGGATCTCCTAAGGCTCATCAGTTGGTTGACATTTATGTGATCAAACCATGTCCAAGACATCTCTATCTATTCTTGTCCACCACTCGATCTACAACAACCCTATCAAGTATATATTCATTTATCAATGTCTCTAAGTTTCAAGGCACTCATGCATCCACTTAAGCATTCTCATCTCAACAAAAATTAACTTTTTTTTATGATTCCCTTTTAAAGGCCAACATTCTATGTCATAAAGCACTGCAGGTCTCATCACCGTCATTTTGGCCGATGCATTCCTCCACTTCAACCAACTTAAACTCTATTAATAAAATCCCCATCTATATCACGATCACTTTGAACAATAACCCAATGCATTCCTCCATTACAACCAGTCAACGTGAGTTCTACAAATTATAACATCCACGTCTATATCACCATCACTTTGAACAATGGACTCGATTAATTTCTCAATTTTAACCCGTTAACGTAAATTCTACAAATAACATCCCCATCTATATCACCTTCACATTGAACAATAAAAGTGATGCATTACTCCACTAATTCAACCAACCAACTTGAATTCTACTAATAACATTCTCATCTATATCAACATAACTTTAAACAATAGACCCATTTCATTATTCCACTACTTCAACCAATCAACTTGAATTATACTAATAACAACCCCATCTAGATTCTCATACATATCACTCAATATTTATGTATATACATAACTAACACCTAAACTTCAATGCATAAGGAGATTTGCATATGTACCACTGAAATTTTATGTATATACATACCTAACACCGAAACTTCAAATCTTACATACATAGCATAATTTTAAAAGGAAAAAAATGGGCAAATAACACATTACCATTAAATGCATAAGGAGATTTGCACACATTTCACTGAAATCTTATGTATATACATACCGAACACCTCATATAAGGGAAAATTCAACGTAAATTTTGCAATAGACATCATCTAATTGTTGCTTTAGTAATAATATTTAAGTAAAAAATTTGCTTGGGATAATCTACTCCACCTCAGCAATGAATAAAACAATAAAATTTTAGTTTTTAGTGGACGTTGACACAAGTGATAATCCTAAAAAGAGGCATGTTTCTAAAGTACACTTTCAATTGACTTTACAACTAACACAATTTGCATCAAATTGAGAATCCAAGTCACAAGATATAAATTTTAGGGATACCATAAATCTAACATAGATGTGCTTATCAAATAACTAAACATATCCATAACCCTTAAAAAAAAGATCCTTTTACATTGACCCAAAAATAAGCACAAACACAACAAACAAAATGTGAGGCTTGTTAGTTGCAGGGCATGATATAATTGGAAACAAATGAGTCATTAAGAATAAGGTGAATGGTTCAAGTTATAATTTATAACCAAAGCTAGGCTTGTAGTTCAAGAGTGATAAAATAGAAGATATAAATTTTGGGTAATCTTCTAAGCCAATAGCAATATTAAAAGTTGTTATATTGCTCCTTGCATTTTGCATGTCGTATGAAATTTAAGCTCTTTCAAATGGATGTAAAACGTGCTTTATTAAATAGATTCATGATCAAAATATATTCATTAAATAATATCCTTGGTTATATTTGGTTCTAATTTGTTTTGGTTATTAGTTATATTTTAATTTTATGTTAAAGTAGGGTTTAGCTCAACTTTCATCTTGAGTAGGTTTGAAGTTATAACTTATCTGAGTTCAATTCATCATTTGGTAAAACTAAAAGGGAGGTCATATGTCTCGATGAGATTAGATATAAGGTAAGGAAAATACAGACTAAAAAATGAGATCAACAAACATGATCACACTAATTAGAGGCATTCATACAGAAGATTAAAATGGATATGATCCTCCGTAGATGCATTATTAACAAATTTTTGAAGGATGAGAAGACAAAAGTTTGATCATAATAGAAGGAAGGGTTCCTTGAATAGCAGGAGTTGAATTAAAACCACCCATGGTTATGTGGATGTTTTTGATGATCAATCAAAAACTAAAACAAGGGATATGATTTTTAATAAATGTTGTGAAATTATTATGTGATAACTCCAATATTCACAATGATACGGGGATAATTTAATATCTTAATATTTTACAAAAAAAAAAAAAATACAAATAACTCACAAACTAATAAAAAAAAAAATACAAATAACTCACAAACTAATACTATTACTAGATATTTTACATGGAAAAATCTTCCAAAATAGTTAGAGCTCTAAAATTCTTATATAAGGGAATTCTCTCCACTAAGATTCCTCCTCAAAGAGAGCTTACTCATAAATTGTCAAAGTTTCTTAATGGTCATTTTTATTAGAATTTTGAATATGTTATTTAGATGGTTTAACTAAACATCATTATAATCTTCTTTTTCTTTAACATCTCAATGTCTGAATGAAGTCAAGGTTAAGCAATCATGAAGTTATTGAATTTGTCCTAGTGAAATATTATATTTTACTATAACCACACAAACTTTAGAGAATATTTAACCCCTCAAAAGAGCTCAAGGAATTTTAGATATGTTTCTTAGCATTTGATTTAAGCCAATTTAGGGACTATTTGGTTTTCTAAAAAAGAAGTAAGATGTAAGATGAATTCAATACATTTGAAATGTACTCAATTTAAAATATTTGAGTTATTTGGTTCGGTATGAAATAAATACAAGACTTAACAATTGTAGTTGTTCTCGTAAAAAAAATGAAATCAATATAAAACACAATCGATGATTTTGGGCAGTTGGCATTGTGGACAGTTGGCAGACCAGTAGGTGGACAACAATGACGACAATCAATGATTGTAGGTGATGGTCAATAATAGTGCCAAATGAGCTGGAAGGGGCAGGTTACTATTTATAGTGTATTTGAAATTATCAAATTCTTATAAATTTAGAATACATCTTTGAATTGTAGCATGAAATCTAAATTTACCAAAATTTTACAATATATTCCATCATGCAATTGATTTACCGTTTACCAATAATGCAACAAATTAAATATTTCCTTACTCATTTTTAGTATCATCAAGTTTGTCTAATTGAACCACATTATGTCAATTAAAATGACTAAAAATAAAACTTACATGATCTATGAATCAATTTCCAAAATTTATGCATAAATATCTTGGCGCTAGAATGCAAGTAAACTTGAACAAGAACAATAGTCATGATCCAAATTTGACATTGATTTCCATCCTCCTTGAATGAAAATAAGTGCTTGAAAATTTAGTTTTTGTTGCATTTAATGAAATGGTATTCTAGCTATAGTTTACTGCCTCTATTTCATGGCTGCAAAGCACTTCACCATTCTAATCCTACAATATAACACTTATTTGTTTGACATTATACATTTAAGATTACAATCATACATACAAATTTATACCATTACGCGCAAGGCTCAAGTACAATAATACATACCACAACTATTCATATATTTTTACATATGTATTGCCTAAAGTTTGATACGTACATGCATACCACTCAAATTTTTAACACCACATCAAAAATACCATTAATAAACTTCTTAAAAGTGAAATTTCAACATTTCATGCATAGTTTATAATACCAAAGTGTTAGAAATGTACATATCAAACTTTAGGCATTAAATATGTTAAGAATATAAGGATAGTGTGGTATATATGAAAAACATAGACCAGTGTAAGAAAGCTGCCACCATAACAAGTGCATTTAACAATAGGAGTTTACAATTGTGTGAGAACCAAAGGACAAATTTCCGAATAACTTTACAATTGCTAGCAGAAAGTTTGCCTATTTTAATCCACACGTGCTTAAGCTTTTCAACACGTGGAATTTTGCAAGTAAGATTGCTTCCAATAACACAGGAAATTGCATGACACAGCAGCCCAGCGAGGAGTTGAAGCATCAAGGAAGGATAGTTGTGCCACAACAAACTTCAGAGTTCGCCCAACATATAATGCGGCAAAGCATATGTATGATGCGGATATATCATCCTTTACCACCCTGGACAATATAAAATTTAAGTTAGCTGAAACAGAAGGTTTGTTCTTCATAACTCTGCATTAGTTGGAACAGCAAAACATCTTCAAGTAAAGTGAGAATATCTTAAACATAAACATAGAAAGGAAATACACATATATTACACCAAACAAATTCTTATTTGCATGATGATCGCCTTAATCTTAGACATTTTGCTAGTTCGAACACAGACCTCTAAACCCCTAAGAAGTTTCAACTAGACTTCTGAAGATGCATGGAAACTGGTAAAATGTCCAGCTCTATAAGATTGGAAATACACTAAAATGAAAAAGCTTGGAAGTTCTGTAAGCCTACAGAAGATGTTACACCGATCTCATTTGTGAATTGCAAGTGCAAATGCAGAGTGGGAGCAAAGCAATTAGGTACTATGAGTTGGAAAAAGTAAAACTGCAGCAAAAGATCATGGCAACGGACAAGATTTACATCTGGCGGATGCACAGGATGAAGGCAGTGAGCAAAGAAGGGGTGGAGCGAGAGCTCGGGCCTTCGCTGTATCACGTCCGTTGTCCGGACGCAGCTCACGTCCGGACTCCGGACATAATATTTTCTACTACCACGGCGTTAATTTAATTGGTGGCTCCGTAAAAGGAAAGTTAAGTGGGAATCATTTGGATCTACCTAGATGCGTATCAAAAAGCCACCATAGATGTTCCAACTGAAATAGTGCTCCCACATCTCTGTCTAGTAGCTTAGCTTGGAGACCTAGACTTTGTCCGCCAAGTGAAGATAAGCCAAGGACCAAGAGGCATCCATGAGAGGTTTATTTGATATGTTGTCCTCATTTGAATCCTAGAATCCAGTTTGAACTTAGATAATGTCATCTCCTTATATTTTAATGTTAGGAATGGAGACCTAACTCTCACAAGCACGACTTTGATTTTAAAAGGTGGCTATTAAAGGAAAAAAGGCTTGTACGGATCACAAAGAGTGTAAATCAACTCTTTAGTAGAAAGCACAACAAATAGCAATTGATTAAAAAAAGACTGAAACCCCCTAGGGTTTGAGAAATCAAAGGAATTATTGAAGAACACTGAATTTATATTTAAACAAATTTTCATTTGATGTTGGATAATGGATTTTTTTTTTTTGTTGGTTGAAATAAAAATAAATAAATAAATAAACCACTATCCAACATCAAATGAAATTTTGGTTTATTTAGATATAAGGTTGAGAATTCATAATAAGCCCCAAAGTTAACAATCCAGGATTGTCAAGGAACCTTGGTTACAATATGAGAAATCAGAGTGCGTAGAATTATAGCATTGAGGGATAAATCAAGGAGCTCATGAACATTAGCATTGATTGATTCAACAAGCTAAATGTGAATTTTAATTTGATTCAGCAAACATCAGTTGTGATAAAAAGAAGCTATTTCATCTAAAGAGAGTCCTAAAGATCAAAGGCTAAAGGGGGATGTGATTTGGTGAGCATTAGTGCCGAATTAACTACAAGATTTTTATCTTGGCAGTAGGGGTGGAGTCAAGAGACCGCATGGGTTAAAGCATTGTCTTCAACAACTTTGAGAGTTTCAAGAAAATGGGCCCTTGACTCCAATATATCGAGTAAGAACAAATATATGTAGGATATGACCACTAGCGATGAAACTAAGTCCACATTACTAATACAGGGCTTACCGTACCAAATAGGTTGATTGGCACGTGTGCTCAAAAGCATGGTCAATCATGGTTAAAAAATGCTTGATATAAACTAATGATGATGGCACAAAAGCACGATATAGATAATTCCAACTAAAAAAGAGAAATGATCCATGGTTCATTTAAAATGGTATAGTTCATGCGAGTGAGGCGTTAGCATTTTTTTATTTGGATTTTATGTTTAAGTTTCTCTATTTGAAATCATGGTGATCTATATCAAGCATTTGACTTACTGGGCTACCAAGGAGGATTAATTCCTTATTTAGAAGCAATTAAACCACGTGGATACCAAGTTTGTGTCATACTTCTGAGTTGCCATGGAAAGTGAGTCGTTGTTTAAGCTTAGGTTTAAACTCACAACGAAGTTTTATAATATGAGATGGATTAGAATCCACTTTGATGAGGGTTAAGAAAGAACTTTAGTCTAAAAATAATAGGCCTTCGGTTTTAGCCTAAATAAGTCTGCAATAGTTTATTGATGACATTTTGACATTAAGCATAGAAGGCACCCCTTAATGCAATTTTGAAAAAATAAATAAATAAAAAGCTGTTTACATACATAGCACACGAAACATTGATATTTACAAATCTAGCACCCTCTTTAATCCATTTATCAAATTTTCACTCAAATATGAAAATTTGTGATAAAACCCCAACCCATATGTTTCATTTTTACCAAATTCTCAATGGTTTGATCGGGCACATGTAAATGCATCGGTTCAGTAATTCAAAAATATCAGTTGGGTGCTAGATTTTGTGAATAGCAATGATTCAGGTGCCATGTATGTAATTATCCAATAAATAAAACACCATATAGTGTATATCTCACAAGGCTATTAAAGCATACACTTCAATAAGGTTGATGCACAACTCTGCATAATTTGTAAGACGGAAAAGCAATAATAATTAGGGTTTAGAAAAATTAAAATACTAAATTTATAAATTTAAATTATAACATAAATCTTAACTTGAAGAGTGATTACGATCCAATGGTCTATAAAATAAAATAAAACCATCATAATTGCTTATAGAAAGATTTTAATGTTGATTTTTTTCATGGACAAGACTAACATAAGTTCACAAGAACATAATACAAAAATAACCATAAAACTTTATGTAATAAAAATTATAATCATCAAGAGAGCTATTATTTTAATAATTAATGTTCTTATTCATTTTTATTGATTAAAGAGGGGGAAGAAGATTGAGATTGTAGATGAGAAAGAATAGCAGATGATGAGACAAGAACAAGATAAGAGAGAAAGCAATTCATTATAATGATGAATCTAATAGAGACCCACTGAGTAATGAGAATAGGGGAGATATTCAAATTCGTAAATTATAATTTTAACAATTTAGGCTTCTTGTTCATGTTGAATTCGAGATGAGAGAAACTTATTATTATTAATTTATTTTGATTTGTTATGGTCTTACTTTGATGTTAGAAAATTAAACATTATTTCATATTTTTTATTAATTTAATATTTTAATTAGAAGGCTTATATCTCAAGGCGTTTCAAGGAGTTTCAAGGAGTCTCAAGGCTTACCTCGACTAATGTAGGGTTGTTAGAGCACAGACTTAGCTAGCATTAAGAAGCATAAAGCTTTGGCAACAAGTTAGTGATATCAAAGCCTAAATAAAATCATTTTGTTTGAATCCTAAACTTGGGTAGATCTACAACACCATGATGCCTTAGCATGTGTATTGATGTAATGCATGCATGTTATCAACGGAGGTTCCTTTTGCACCCCCTTTAGGGTGCTGATGCTAGCATAACAACATGGGTGGTATGGATGGATATCATACCTTTTAGTGAAGATTGGCATTCATTTAGGGTGCACATTTGCCTTAATATAAGTATCAATGAAACACACCTTAGCACGCATGTCAAGTTAATAGTTGAATCAGGATCTTTGGTTAGACTGAAAATCAACAAGTTCAAGATTTTTTCGTTTGATTGATCAAATCAATGTCATGTGAAGTTGAGAAGAGATCCTAGAAGAATTTATGGTATGATCACTTGGATCCCCTGGTGGTTTCCAGTAACTAATGAAGGAACTTTGGATAATCCATATTTATCTAGTTTCTAGAAGCATAAAGCTTAATTTTTTTATGAACGACTTTCTATCATCATCTATATCCATAGACGACTCTCCAACCGCTCAAAAATCAATTATAGAGTACACTATCCATGCACCTCATAATCGACCAATGTCGGGCAAACACCTTCTTGCACAATGCATGCACTAGCTCACATACCCTAGCATGCCAAAGCATCTGTGTGCACTTACAAACAAGCCTAGAGAGTTGCCAATTGTGCAAACTCCCGCGTATATTGTCCCTACAAACACATACACACATGACCTTTTCCATCACCCCTAAACTAGCCAACAACATTTGCCAATAACTCTCGATACCTAATCCCAACATCTACATTCCTTTGTGAAGAGCTTGCCGACAACTTCACTGTCATCGTAGAAAGTTGTCTTTATTAAGTCAACTCTCTGAAGCTTTCTTGGTAGCCTTACCAACAACATCCTTGCAGCACCTTCTTGACAATCATATTACCAGCTCCTTCACCTCCATGGCATCTCACCGACTTCTCGGTACTTTCTCGACAACATTGCCTACAGCTTCCTTGCCTACAATTTCCTTGCCTTGATATCCATAACTTTGCACCTTTGCAAGGCCACTTGAAATTCTCATACCGTAAAATCACAACCCCATAAGAGATAATCTTCTTGGATTTTTATTCTCTCCTCCCAAGTTTGTCTGTCTATCTCTTTTGCCTCAGCTAGGTCCTCCACCAAACGACACTTAGCTATCATCTTTTAAGCCAACAAAGGAACGGTCAGCCACCCATAAAAATGTCCGCAAAACTTTCTACAAGTACCTTCCAAAACCCTTGGAGGTGAGTTGAAGAGCCAAACTTAGGAGATTGTGACACTGACACCTTTACTCGATAAGTACCTTGGAGTCACCAGCCACCTAACAAGCCATAAGGTGAACTTGTCAACTTTTTGGAAGACTGCATTTTATTCCCACCCAATTTTTGGGTGATTTATCATCTCTTATCGACAACACCTTCAACTTGATGCAAGATGTTATCTCTGCAAACTAGCTTTCCTAAATCAGAACACCCACAAGCATGTCCACCACCACACCAACTCATCGGCCCTATATTTTTAATTCTTTGTTGAATAACTCCTAGATGCATCCATAACTAAAATCTTGTCAACCCATAAGCAAAGTGAAGCCATTCGACATTAGATGGATATGTCAACTCAACGCTTGATGAGTCAACAATC